TCATTTGCTGCAGCTGTTCTCAGTCCAGTTTAGTCTTCTACCCTTGTTGGGATCTGGTGAATCTGGAGTTAGAATGATGGTGCAGTGAGTAAAATGCATGCCTCCAATGCTGAGAATTCCAGAGACATACATGGTTGATAGGGAGACATGACTCCTGTGAGCTGTTCACTAACTGTATCCATCTATCAGTGCTGCAACAAATTCAAATCAAATATTGAAATGAGGCACTGTGCAACATGCCAACTCAAAGTGAAGGACACTATAGGGATGCCCGTTCACCACAGTCTGCACACTTTTAAACTCAGGAAGCTCCTTCTGAAAATGAGACACTTGCTAATTCCTCTAGATTGGAATGTACTGGTTGAAGGTGAACACAGTATTTAGAATGGCATGAAGAGAGTAGTCCTGCATGTCTATCAAGTGTTCTCTGGATCTCACATTAAGTGATAGTCACAGTAATATAACAGAATGTCATCCACAGACACGGCCACGGGGATCCTCTTCCTGTCTCAGAATGCACTGGGGATGCTGTTTAACTCAGCCTTGCTTTGCTGTTTCATCAATGATGTATTCTCTGAAATAAGAGCCAGGCCCACCGAACTAATTGTCAAACACCTGACCGCGGTGAACTTCATGGTTCTTCTCTGTAAAGGAATCATTCAGAAAATGGCTGCTTTTGGTGAGACATATTTTCTAGATAACATTGCATGTAAACTGCTTTTTATAGAGTTGCCAGAGGAGTATCCCTTGGATCCAAATCAATCTTAAATTTATTCCAGTTTATCTTGATCACCTCGTGGACTGCCAAATACAGTTCAAAGACAGAGACTCATCGTTAGAAGTTCTGACTGCCTGTGCTGGCCCTGAGATTAATGGTAAATGGGTTGATTGTTGTGCTTGTGACAGACAAGAGGGATGGAAGAAACTGCACTGGGATTAGAAAATTTCTATATTGTGGTATGGACACAGCTTAAAAATCTAATCTACACGTTATTTGTCATCTTATTCAGATCTTTGGATGTTATGTGTTTGGTAATCATGATACGGTCCAGTGGTTCCCTGGTGCTTTTCTTGCTGAAGCACAAGCAGAGGGTCCAAAACTTTTCAGAATTCTGTGTCGTTGGCCATCTCCTGTGACTAGAGCCACCTAAACCATCCTTGTCCTGGTGAGCAGTTTTGTGGTCTTTGTACAACTCCTGGCATCTTAACCATGTTTATGCTTTGTAAATGGAAACGCCAGGTGGCTGGTCAATGCCAGTGCACCAACAACTGCATGCTTCCCAACATTTTGACCCTTTCTTGTCATCAGACACCAAACCTCAATTTCCAGCCTCTGATGGACTTGCTAATATCAAACAACAAATGTCAGAATTCAGCGTTCTCACATTTACACTGCAAATCCTATTCCCATTCTTTTGGTTCTGTCCATTTATTGTGCTTATAATGTAAGATTTAAGCTATAAGCTTACATTTTCTAAAATTTCAACAGGAAAATGCCTATTGTCGGGTTAAAATGTGAAAAGTGTTAGCAATTCTTTCTGGTAAGATCATTACCAGTAGAAAAATGTCAACACCAGGACTACGTGTATCACACCAATATATAATTCTCATGAGAGTGCAACTTATTTGATGATACATCATGTATGAGTGATGAATTTATACTCAAGAAAAAAGAAAAAAATCACCATGAAAAAAGATGAATAGAAACAAAAGAAAAAAAGTAAAGCCACAGGTAATTAATGAGCTCAGAAAGAGGGAGAATTAGTCTTCCCTGGGGATGAATCCATTAAATGTTAATCCAATACCAAGTCCTCAGCTTTAAAAATATAAACATATGATCAACACTATGTGGACTTGTAAGATTATAATTATCCATATATATATATATATATATATATATATATATATATATATATACATATGTACATATGTGTGTGTATATATATATATATATATATATATATATATATATATATATATATAAATTAAAAGAGTCTATGAATTTGGGAGGAAGCAGAGGGGACCAAGGGAAAGTTGGAGTAGAGAATGGGAGGAAAGGAGGTAAATACAGTCTGCATATATAAAATATTCAATATAACAGGGTGCCTATTTGATATAATAAAAGATGGAAAGTTAGAGAATGTAACATATCAAAATCCAAATATAATAGAACATAGTGTAATAGAACTTAGCAAAGAAGTAGAAACAAGGAGATAATGTTTGAATCTTAGATGGTCTTTTAATAAAAGACCCAGAGCCAGATATCAGGGTGACAGCTAAACGATCAGAGAAGCAGAACAGCCAGCCACTAGTGCTTACCTCTACAAAATCCCCAGCCTAAAGAGAGTGAGTTCCTGTTTCCTCATGCCTTATATACCTTTCTTTGCCCTGCCATATTACTTCCTAGGATTAAAGAAGTGTGTGCCTCCCAAGCGAAGGCATGAGATCTCAAGTGCTGGCATTAAAGGTGTGTGTCACCACTGCCTGGCTCTGTTTCTCTCCTAAACTGGATCAATTTCATGTAGCCCACTGTGGCCTTGAACTCAGAGAGAACCAGAAGGATCTATCTTTTGATGTGTTCCAAACTTACATGCATTATATATCTTTAGTGAGTTTCTTTTCTGAATATGTTGACAAGGATAACAATAACTATAACTATCTAATATTCTATTCCCTATTGCCTCAGAGATCCAAGAAGAAAATAATGGTACCTAAGAAAGCAAAGAGCAAGCAAGCAACTTCCAAAAAATTGTGAGTTATGACAAATAACTGGCTGCCTGGACAGTCACCCAAGAACACTCTGCAATGTTGGAGTATTCATCTTTGGCCTACAGACCTAGCATATCTGACAGAGTCCTGTGAAATAGGATTTTTTAATGGGCCTTCCTACCTTGTCTTGGCAAGGACTGGCAGTCCTTCAATTTTTGTCCTGCTTGTCCATTTTCGACAGCATACTGTCAGGCGTTGAGGCAAGGACACATTCTCGCCCCATGGCTAACATGCCACAAAGAAAGTAAACTCCATATGGAGTTTCTTTGATGCTCATCATCTTCTCTGAAGTAGATTGGTGCTGCCGGGAGAAGATATGTCTCATTTTCATAAACAAAAAAGAATCTACATTATTAAAACATCTTAAATGCCATATTCTGTAGATCTCTGAAGTGTTTGAAGATGACTTGTTTATCTAAAATACATTTCTGTTTGACTTTGAAACATACCTAATGTCACTTCAGTTGTAATAGGTGAGTGACTAAATACAACTTGCATTTCTTTATATCCTAATTAGTAGGTAATAATAATTTTTGAGTTCTAGCAATTTGCATTACATTTTTAATTGTGCTGTATAGGTCCAATACCTTGAACAAGATTAGAAGTATGTGTACAGTATTTTCTAGCAAAATCAACTCCATTTTGTATCAATATACATAATTTGTATACAATATACAAAAATCTATTCCAATGTAAAATATTAAAAACTAGTAACTGCTTTCTAGAAGTAGATTCAATAACATACCTTTTTATCTTGTCATATCTATATGATAAGTGACCTGGCTGAATATTATCCCTTATAATTCCATCAATTTTCCTGCACATTTTGTAATTTCATCTTCACTATAGTCAAATAATATTCCATTTTGTATATGGACACAAATGTAATTATCAATTTGTCCATGTATGGATATGTAAGTGGCCCACATTTCCTTTTGATAATAAATAGAGCAGTAATGAAAATAGAATTGCAAATGTCTCTAGGGAATGATATGGAGTTCTCTGGGTATATGCCCAGGAGCAGAATGCTGGGACAAATAGTTGTTCCTTTTTATGTTTATTTGAGAAACAACAAAATGTTTTCTATCATGGATGTTTTAAATTCTATCAAACTCTTTTGGTGAAGCCAGCAATACACTGATGCCTGTAGATGTAGCCAACCGTCTTATTAAATAAGAAACACAGAGCCGATTCAGAGAAGAAAGCCAAGAGGTCAGAGCTAAGAGCCTTACCCTTCCTGCTTCAGGGGTCCTCTTCAGCCAAGTGAGCTCTCCAAAATGGGGCCTAATTCCTGTGTGTTTGTCTTTATATAGTCTTTGTGTTCTGCCTTCTCATTGGTTGCAAACCCAAACACATGACTGCCTCATCACTGCCTGTCTGTAGAGACTTCCAGGTCTTCTATGGTTGGGATTGAGATTAAAGGCGTGTGTCTCCAGTGCTGGCTGTATCCTTTTACATACAGAGATCTACCTAGCTCTGTCTACCAAGTGCTGGGGTTAAAGGCATGCACCACCACTGCCACATACTTGCTATGGCTCTAATAGCTCTGACCCCCAGGCAACTTTATTTATTAACATACAATTAAAATCACATTTCAGTACAAATAAAATACCACCATAGATGCCAAAACAGATGAAGACAGAACAGCAGCAAAGGACTTACAAGTCAATATCTCTGATAATTATAAAATTCTCTATGAAATACTAGCAAACCAAATTCAGAATTACCCCAAAACCATCAGTCATTTTGAATTGATTTTTGTATAGATGAAAGATATTAATCCTATTTTCTTCTTATGTTGGTGCAGACCACAGCAGCTGTGATGGGACAAGGGCACCCTGTCCCAAGTTCATGGCCATGCCCTATTTCCATCCTGGTGCAGTAAGAATATAGAAAAGAGACCTACCTGTGAAATCACCAAGCAGCCAAGATTCCCAGACAGAATGAAAGCCACATAAAAGATATTCTATTGGCATCTTTTTGCTGGCTCTTTAGTGTATCAGGTGGGCAAAAGGAAGACTGTCAGCCCTTCAAGTGGAAGAGTACAATGCACCTCACACATTAGGATTTGATCCTGCAGGCTGCTATTTAATCACCTAACAAATGGACATAATCAATTCAGCTACTCCTAAAAACACAAAAATCTACCAATTTAACTTCCTGTATTGACCTTTTGAGTGTGAAAGGTGTGTAAACAACTAAATACCAAGCAAAACATATCATTTCAACAGTTAAAATGAGATTATATTCTTTTTATTCCTTATCCATACCAAACAATGTTTGGATACAATAGAATAATGATACATGAGAAAAAAGGGTACAAAAGATGGAAAACAGAGAGAAGTTAAGCGATTGATGTTTATCAGCCACCAATTTTGATAATACAAAAGACTAATGAAGCCTCTTAAGATGGAGAAGAAAGTATAAAAAGCCAGAAAGGTAGATACTAGGATCAGAATGTTCTGGGTAACTCTGGATTCAGGGGAATTTCTGCTGGAACCATGAGTGCTACGGATGTGTTGGACCCTCTGTTTATGTCTGTAAAGAATGACAATCATGGATCCACTGGACCAGGCCATGAGCACAGAAAAGAAGACTTCAGGGAGCACCACCAGTGCTGCATAGAGATATTCAGAAATTTCATATTGAACTACAATGGAACAGTATGCAAAGTCTCGTCTTCTTGTCACATTTTTGCTGTTCCTGTTGACAAAAGTGTATGCAATAGGAATGAAACGTATCAACATGTACATGACCCAGAGGAGGAAAATGTGACAGCCAACGTTCTTCTCAACTTTGACTTTTTGATCCTTCCAACAGGACTTCCTGGGACTAATGGTCAAGGCCTGAAACACACTCAAGAGGCAGATGATGCCAATGGACACACTCCTAACAAATGCTTGAATGTACAATAGGAGCGTGCATCCAAAGTCATCCAAGAAATGTTTAAATCCCCATACTGCCATTGTTTGGGGCACTCCTGCAGAGAGAATGATGAAGGCATTGGCTGCCATTAGGTGCATGAGAATCAAATCTGTGGGTTTTAATGTGCATTCTCTACAGTAAAGGAGCAGATAGTAGAAAATTAGAGAGGAATTTCCCAATATTCCAGTTGAAATTTTTGATAAGAAAAGAATTCTCATTGCCAGATTCCAGAAGTCCATTATGTGATTTGGTACAATTACCTTCAGAATATGGACAACAATTCATCTGGTCAGAGAAATACAAATATTTACAACCTGCAGTGGAGGAAAGCCTTAAGTTGATTGGACTACTGGAAGACTGAAACAAAAGTTCTATGAAGCTAAGGTGTTCAAGGCCAGTCTGAACATATAAAAAAAAAACCTCCTCCTCAAAAGTTTAACAAGTTTAGTTACTTTCCGTGTATATCAATCACTATGAGAATGAGCAATAACTCAGGATGTCCATAATGATGGAATGAGAGCCCACAAGTTTCATAGAAAATGAAACATTCACAATGATGTGACATGGGCCCATAAGAGACAGTGAAAATGACAGCCCTTCCAACAAATACAATGCAAGATTTCCAGAATATTTTGATATTTTCTAGTCATGGCATAAACGAAAACAATTTCAATAATGTTTACACAAATTAAATATATCAATGCTTAATGTTTATCTCATCTAAAAATAGAAGATAATGGAGTGAGGAAACTATAATACCACAAAGAATATGTCTATGGTCTTTTGACGTGGCCAGAGTTCCCTCAGCTCATCCTGACTTGGGTGGAGTTATCTTTTGTTTAAGCTGAAACTAACTCTCCCTTTTCTACTTCCTCTATGAAAAGTCTCTTGGAAATTACTCAACTCTGTTCTACAAAATGGGAGTCAAAATGCCCCACAAAACTGCATGTTTTTAGCTTCTTTTAAGTGCTTGGTTGCTTTATCCACACAAATCCCTGACAACTGCAAATCAGTTATAAGTGTTCTGATATGTTTGCCTTTAAAACATCTGAAAAATTAATTTCAATCTTCACTGTGTGAAGTGTTTTTCCTCCATGTAGTAACCAAATCCACTTAATACAGACTCTCATTTTGGACTTTGTTCATGCTTGGGCCTTTACCCTACAATACTCTTAGATAAGGAAAAATTATTAAAAGCACAAAATGCTTAAGAATGAGTCTTTAAGTGACAACTGACATCATTTTCAGACATGGATTCATAAAATTCATAAAATATAGACTAACACATGTGTTCACACACTTTCTGTGTTGCTAGAGAGAAGTGGGTATCAGATGGGGTGAAATCTCAAAAAATACACAACACCATAGTGTAAGGCAAAAAAAGACTACCATAAATGGCAAGGTGAAGTACAAAATATGATGAATGATGGCTACTGGAATAATATTCTGTGCCTCAGTTGAAACTGTATGGGATAATCATGTACCCCTCCATTGGCTGAGAGAGAAAATGATAGGAAAAAAAGCAATATGTTAGACAGTCCATCAGTGAAGCGATGTCAGAGTAAACTCTCAGCACACCGTACTGTCTTCCAACAGGAGAAGGTGTCTGAAATCCTCTTAGGTAGCTGAGATTACCTTGAAGAAATAGACAGAAATAGCTGTAAATCAATACCAGGCTGAACCATACAGTCCCAGATAAGGGACAATTGCTCCACGTAATCATTAGCCATGCCATGACACTCAACTGAACAATCAAGAACTGGAATAAAATTGGGTAAGATTCTTGGGACCTGAAAAAGTTAAAATAAATTGGATATAAGAGCTATAACATTAAGAACTGCTAGATACTACCAGTCCACACTTTCCATTCACTGGTATTGTGGAACACCCTAGGGGATGGCTACAGCAGAATATAGAAAATATTCTATTCAGTGATGTAGGACAGTCCCAATAAGATAACTGGCATATATTCTGTCTCAACGTGGTGTTATTAGTTATAGGTGTTAGAAATACATGGTTATGTGGAACAAAAGTATGTGGGTCCCAAGAAACTAGAATTGGGCCATAAGAGAGTTAAAAAGAGTCTGTATGAGAGTGGCTGTGGAAGGAAAGAAAGCAAAAAAAGGTCTGAGAATAGAAGGAACATAATGCTCATGCAATGGATAAGATGGAATAGGAGCAGTGAGATGAGGAAATGAAGGATTGGTTCAACTAAAACATTAAAAATGAAGAAGCCTTAAAAAACTGGGTACATTTAAGCTAATTAAAAATAAAAGAAAATAAAATAAACAAAAAATGATAAAAAGAGAATGAAATACCAAGCTTGGGCTTGTTTGTAGATAAACCTCTTATTATGGCAATGTGCCTAAATGTAACACCCAATGCTGTGCAAAACTGATCACATCTACTTAAGAAGAAGAAATACAAATTTGCATGTCAATAACTCCAGGCTAAAGAATAACTACTGTCTTAGTTATAGTTTCAATTGCTTTGAAGACACACTATGACCCTGATAAAGGAAAATATTTATTTGAGGCTGTCTTACAGTTTCAGAGTTTGAGTCCATTATTTCCATGGTGGGAAACATGTCAGAGTCCTGGCACATATGGAGCCAGAGAGGTAGCTGAGATTTCTTCATCAGGATCCACAGGCAATAGGAAGTGAACTCAGTCCCACACTGGGCATAACTTGAGCATATAGAACTCAAAGCCTGACCCACAATGACACTCTTCTTCCAACAAGACCACACTTGCTCCAACAATGCCACACCTCCTAACAGTGTCACTACCTATAGTCCAAAATTTCAAACACATGGGTTTGTGGGGAATATACCTACCTATTCAAACCAACACAACAGCAAAGTAAATTTCTTTGGGTTACTGAAGAAATTTGAAGTGTATAATACAGTAGTAGTCTTAGGAGCATCACCATGAAAATCACCCACATGATCAATTAACAGCCCATGATTAAATAAACAATATATACACAATAGACTTTTACACATGGACACCACTTAAAATCTTACACTATTAGATTTTGCTATATACCACTGAGTTCCCAGTGATGCGTTCCCTGAGAAATCCCATGCAATTCATGGTTATTAGTTTTAAGTCTTAAAAAGTATAACTCACAAACAAAAATGAGAATGGTTTAATTTTGTTGGTTGAATGGCAGCTGACATATGCACATGAAAATCATGGAATAACAATTTGATACCAATTTTCTAACGAACACCATGCAATATTTGTGAACACTGATACTGACTGACCTGGGAATTCATTGAAATGTTTGTCAGAACAGTGTTATAAGTATGTTGTCTATTTATGCATTGGCTGGCTCATATGATGATCGTGTATATATAGGACACTTGACATTATTTAGGATACACACCATCCAACACTGGACACATAAAAACACAACATCCCAGGATGCTTTTCAAAGGTCTACCTTCCTGGCACTGTTTCCTTGCAGAGATGCCAGGCCCATTTCCAGGAAATTGATGCCAATGTACCTACCCTGCTGCATCTGTGAGGATGGAGAAGTATCAACAAGATGCTCCGTGCTAAGACCTGCTGTGGCCTTGGAAACTCCTTGAATAATAGTGACTAGGAAATGTCTGTACCACATCTTTTAGAATTGAGTATTTCAGTGTCCACCTGCATTCATTTGTTCCCTGTAAATAAGGACCAAAGACCATGACTGTTTGTGACTACTCCTATGCACAGATCTGTAAGGTCACTCTGCCCAATTCTGGTAATGAATATTTGTTTTCACAGGCATAGTACATTGCACACAAGGTAAGACGTTACTGGTCACATCCACTGAACCCCAATATTCTCACTAATAAATAGTCACTGTGTTTATTTGTTAAGGATTGAGTGTATAAAGGCAAATGAAAGTTTTCTGAATTAAGTGTATATATGGCAGATAGCCGTGGAAATATTTGAGTCCCTGTTATCCTCTTAGTTTGACACTTTCCTTGTTTTTTTTTCTTTTCTTTTTTCTTTTTCTTTCTTTTTTCTTTGCTGTATTACGTGGATATTGTCATGATCTGATCTGAGAAACATCGAGGATAAATGCCTCTTTAATCCAACAGCTGTTTTGTTGCAAAGTGGATACAAAAAGGTCATGAAAGTGGCAAGTGTATCACAAACACAGTGACCTCAGTCTGTGATTATAAGGCCGTGATACACGTTGTCAAACACATTTACTTCTTACACGGTTGTGTCTCCCACCTGATATTTTTATTTTGTTGTTATGTACTTGCATGCTCTTTGGTGTTAATTTTCATCTGAGAAGACTAGAGAGATGCCTCAGTGGTAAAGAACTCTTGCTGCCCTTGCTGACGACCTGGGTTTGGTCCCCAGCACCCACTTGGTGGCCCACAATTAACTGCAATGGCAGTGACAGTGAACACTGACACCTTCATATGACCACTGTAAGCACTGAATTCATACATTGCACACATATACATGCAGGCAAAACATTCATATACACAAAATAAAAAGAGAAAAATAAAAACATCTTTTTAAAATTTAGTTTTCATTTCAACATGAATGTTCCCTCCATAAAAAAGTGCAAGGTGCAAAGAAGGCTTTCAAGATTGTAAATAAATACAGTGTTCTAAGTGTGATTTGACATAATAGAATACTGCCCCAGCTCTCAGTTTAATTTCACAAGTATGAGATACACCACGAGTTTATGATTCTACCCGAAATATGCATTGTTATCATTACACATATAAAAGCTACAGTGGAAACTAATGAGGAATTACTAACACTATTACTCTGTAAAATGCAATATAAAATGCACATGTGAAAAACAAATAACAGCATGAGAATAAAACTAAAAGACTAAAGAAAATGACTGAAAATTCTGCACTTATTTGCTAATACCTTCCTGTTTTTATTTTAAAGTCAGTGTGCCACTATGTACCTCTGCCTATCCTGGAACTAACTTTGTAGATCATGTTGCTCTCAAACTCACAGAGACCTTCTTACCCATGCTTTAAAAATGATGAGATAAAAGTTAGGCACCTCAATAACAGGAATATTTTATTATTATTATTATTATTATTATTATTATTATTATTATTATTATATTGATTTATACAGTATAAAGAAATTCATGATGATTTAAAATTCAGATAGTGTATGTTAGATTATAAAGAATAATCAGAGTAAAGAGATTCCTTAAATATTCTCCAATGGTATATAGGATGAGTGTGTACAGAAGTAGCTGAGTGGTA